TCGTGTCTCTCTCTCTCTTTCTTTCTCCTTCGTATAAATCGATGGCCACGCACTACGAGTCTCGCTGCGTTTTTCCCGGTTGGGCACGCCGTCTCTCTCCCGTACTACTACGACGACGACGACTACAGACGACTATTACCGAGATGTGTGCGACCGATCGTCGTGATCTCGCTCGCGCAGCTCGCGAGCAAGACACGGTCGTCGCGGCGCACGTACTCTGCGACGATCGGATTTAACGCGCACCTACCGCAACGAGGCCCTTCCGCACGGGCGAATTTACGATTTTCGGCCCCGAAAATCGTCGGGGCATCAACCAAAGCAGTGTTTCAACAATGGTGGCCGTCTACACAGCAAACCAGCCGTAGCCGTACGCCGGCCCGACACCTGGCGGTGGCGGCTGGCGACGCGATTCACGTTTCCGTTTTCGGGAGAGCCGAGAGCCGATGCGACGCGAGACGCGAGGAAAACACAACGGGAGCGGCCGACAATTTCTCTCAATGATTTTGTCCCCTATATATCCCTCACGTTGAGAAAAAAAAAATTTTATTGTACATTAGTTCTCCTTTCTTTATTCCGGGAAGATGCGCGCTACAAGTCTTTTTTATTTACAGACAGCACACAATATTTATGATAAATATTCATAAATATTGTTTACTATTTATTTTTTGAAATATATATATATATATATAAATATTTTATACATGTTTGGTTTACATATTTTGTTTACGTTAAGAAAAGAAATAAAAACTTTATTCGATGTTTTATTATTATTAAAATATGAACTATTTTTATATAATATTTATGGCTAAGTGAAAAATAAATATTTATAGTAATATTTTATAAATATTTCTCAATATTTTTATAAATATTTTGATGATATTTATGATAAATGATCTGTTAAATCTAAAGTCACAAATATATTTATAAAATATTCAAATAATTATATTTTGTACATATTTTATAAATATTGTGTGCTGTCTGGATTATGCAATCGGACTTTCTTTAATAAAAAGATCCTGATTTTATTAAGAAAAATTTAAATATGAAATAATCTAGAAAAAAAAAAGAGATAGGAAGAGATGAAAGAGTATACTATATAAAATTTCAGCTTTTCAAACTATTAACGTATTATAATAATGATTTCACACAATCATTTCCTTGCGATTAAATTTTCTAAAATATTGATATTCAAATAACTTCGTCATAAAATTATGAATTTGTATATCATTCATACTATTTATGTCGCATTGCGACGCGTACCGTTTACAATTTTGAAAACCTTCCTCCTTGACAAATTTTCAGAATTATTTTTCTCCCTAAAGCAAGAGGACACATAGCTTTTTCTTGAATCAACGTCAATATTTCATTCTAATCCGAAAATTCAGTTTTATTTTAATACTCGCCTTTGAAGAATAGTTCGCAACCGTTGCTGGTAGTAACCTATTTGTCGATACTTAATCGAGCGAAATAACCAAGGTCGCTCCCTCTGTTCTCGAGGTACTATATTCGAAATTGTTATTTGGAAGCAGGGACTCGCGGGAAAGGCGTAGGACGTAAATATGGGTGCACGTGTTGGTGTGTATGTGTGCATATGTATGATGTGACAGCTGCTCCTATTTCGCCTCTTTCTCGAACATTCCCCGGACGCGAAACGCGCGTCGACTCCGATCTTCGTCGATTTCCAATATTTCTCGCCGATCGTCAGAACCTATGCGACCGATATGTCACATTACGTTCTCGCGTCGCGAACGCACTCGGATGCAAATTTAGAGCGTAATTCTGCGATGCGCAAATTCCCTTTGTCATCAGCTGTTCGACCGGGAATTTCGCGGGAACGCCTTAAGCGCGACACGCGATCAAAAGCTTGACAGGAAAAAAAAAATGAAAAAGTCTACCTTTATATCTGTCGTTGCGGACTGATTCTTCATTCGCATTTTCGTCGAGCATCCTGGATGCCGTCGTCGTCGAGCACCCGATGTAAACAAAACATTATCACAACGCAGCCCGCCACTGGCTAACAAAGTATGTGTGCGTTGCGTGCGTGTGGTGCGACGCGATAGAGTGACGAGATAGAGAAAAGTATAAGCGATCAGCCATGTTTGGTCTATGCGCAATTAGCCGCACGTTAAGATACCTTTTCACAATAAAAGTAAAAATAATGACTAAGGATAAAGATATCAATTTGTCATTTTTGATCACATGACGTCTTTTGACGCTAAAAATGAGAGTCGGGAGGAAGTGCCAGTATGAAAAAATAACTAAATACATGAACGTGACGATGCTCCAATTACACGCTCCGCTATTGGTCCGCTAGAATAAATATGGCGGTCGAAAGGCGATGCTCAGCGACATCTGGTACTCTAGCTACCTCTGGCGCTGCCGCGCCGAATCAACATGGCGGCAGTCCATGTCGTCTGCTCGATTTGACATTTGTGCGCTATCGCAGATTTTTTCTCGCGTCGTTCTCTCGATTTCTCGCGCGCTTTTCTGCGCCGTTTGCGGCGTTTTATCGCGAGAAAACAATTTCCGGCCATTTCTTCATCCCTTTATCAGGGAGACGAACGGCGGATTCGTCGATCGTTAAATTCGGCGGATCCACCAGATCCAGACGTCGTCTGCTGCGACAGCGCAACGGCTGCGCGAATCGTGTCGGCGCCAGAGTATGCGGGTCGTAATCGCAGTGTTGTGTGTTGTGACGATTTGCGGCGAGAGATAAATGAGAGGAATGTACGCCCGTGACTCTTGAGAACGCGCGATGTGCTTGACGCGTCGTCGTTGCGGGAATGGAGGCTGAAGTCAGAGTGGATCGTAGACGCGCTCGAACAAATCACGGCGATTTTATTATGGATTTTCGGGCGTGAATGACGTGTCGACGCCGATCGTCAATGCGAAATGCGAGCCGAATCTTGTATGTATGTACGTACGTACATACATAGATGCATACATATGTAGTACAAGTATCGTGAAATAAACACGCGCGAATCGAGGTAGCGTCGTTCGACCTTATGACAATCAGACTGAAATATGTATACGAAAATATATTAAATGCTACAGAATTGTGTGAACCGATCGAAATGTTGAATGAGAAGCGATGTGATTACCGGACGTAACTCGTCTAATGGATTCGTCCTGTGCCTCCTATACGGAAATGCAACTGCGCTATCGGGAGGATATGCGGATTCGATACATACGTTGGCGTTAAATTTTGCAGTTGCACACTGTTTTTTCGACTCTAGTCCAGACTTCAAAAGTATTATTTGTTTTAAGTACAATATTAGTACTTATGTTAACAATGTACTTAATATTAGTACACCATCGAGTGAAACAGATACCGAGTATCTATTCGCATTAAACATGTAGCCCCATAACAGGATAGCTGACTGAGAATGGAACTGATACCAAAACATTATGTGATGATAAGTACTTATAAGATATGTCATAATGCATTACGTTGCAATTGATTCTACAGAGGAATTTAGATATAAGCTTGGATATTTATTGAAGCACAAACAATTGACATAAAGAACGTTGTTTTTAAATAACAATAGTGACGATGTAAGAAATTTCAAACATTAGATGTACTTCATATAACAGCAAATAAGAGAGATTGCATGTTAACTTTGGAAATTTATTAATCATTTATATATAGAAGAAATATTTCTCTCTCTGTCTTTTTCTTTGAAAAAATTTTTCCACATTATATATTTTGATATGTACTGTACAAGTAAAGAATTTTTTACTAGTTATAGTATAAAGAAAAATTGATCTTATAATATTCAAATAATCAAGGAGAATAGTAATATAAAAAATATAATCACTGATCTTTTGTACTTAATGCATTAGCTACGAGTATTATGGAGCAGAGCAATGGAAATGACATCTCTAGTGTTTCAAATATCGCCAAAGTAGATGTATCCCCAAAATCAAAACAGAAGAAAAAGTCTCTCTGTCGCATACTTATGAACAAGAAAACCAAGGTTGGCTGCTTGGAATCATCGTACAAAGACGGAGATTCGAATAAAAATTCTAAGATAGAAAACTCACAACATGGATCTCAAACTAGCACTAAACTGTCCCTGTGTTGCGCCATGACTGAACGTAGCAGAACGCCACCTCAGAGCTTAACCGTCAGTAGGCTTTCCCCTACGACGTTAAGTCGTACTTCGGTCAAATCCGAGGTAGCTTCCATCAACGGGAATCGTCAAACGGATGTACTAGTCGAGAAGGAAGAAATGCATGTTCCGAATGACCAAGCTCAGATGGCTCAAGAGACTGTAGTCAAAAGAAATAATGTAGCAGCGAGGAAGGAGCAACGTTATAGTTCTTATATAGAAGGTAAACACATTCTCTCTCATTATACTAATCAAGTTTTATTAATGAGTTAGGTAGAAATACGAAATTTACATATTAAGAATATCCTATTACTAACAAGTTAATAAATAAGCATTTTTATGATTGAGTGATTGAATAATAAATGATCACATTCGCAATATACGGTGGAATCTAATATTTTATTTAAAAAAAAATAGTGTGGTAAGAATCATCCAATACTCTGATGCAATATTACCTCATATTTAATTCCACTTAAGTATTACACCTCTTCTTTTTATGTACATGGTATAATATGATTTGATGATGCTCAGATGACCTTGCACATCCCCTCTACTTTACATTCTAAAGCCTGTGCAAGACAGAGCATTACATTTCTAGTATGTATGTATGTATTGATGTAAAGAGCTGTGATTATATTGTAGACGTGGAGTTAGTAACAGTCAGTTATCTCTAACATCTTATCTTTGACACACATTGTGTGCATGTCTCTTCCTTGCTCACTGAAAGTGCGAATAATCCATTGAAAATGTCGAGTCCAAATAAGAAAAAAAGAAAGAGATCTTTCTTTAACAAGTTACGAAACGTATTTAAAAAAAAAGACGAATTAGAAAGGCAGGCAGAATTTTATATACAGAAGGAAACATTTGATAACAGACAGACTGACAATTCGCGAAGTGTATCTTGTAATTCTAAACAAAAAGATACACCGAGAACGGCTGAGAATAGTGAAACTTGTGTAACAGTTGTGGAAAAAAGTCCATCTGAAAAAGAAGAATATAATTATAAGAATTTGTCAAATATGCAAAGAGATTGTAAAAATGTAATTATTGGAAAGAGTAAAAATTCCAAACTTAATGTAGCTGATGATAAGAATGCGGACTGTCAAAAGTATAATGTTACAGAAAACGAGCAGGATTCTAAATTAGGATCAGATAGATATATGAATACAAAAATTGCATTTTTAAAACAGGAAAACATAGAGGTAACTTGTCGGTCATATTTAGGAGATACTGATAAATTGCGCCATAATAATGAAACAAAATCCAATAGCGCAATATTACAACCTCTTTCTAATGCTAGTGTTACGAGCGATACATGTAAATTTTTAATAAAAGAAACAAAAGTAGTTTCTCCAGAGAGTAGTGAAGATAGTGACTTCTCTGCAGACTCAACGGAAAACTCATTCGAAGAATCTTCAGAAGATGAAAATGAACATCTGATTGAGTCTGAAAAAATTCAGAAATACTTTAAGGATGATTACTTTACAAAAGGAAAGTATATTACTTATTTCTTCCTGCAAATGGAACGGCAGTTCTACAATCCTATGGAAGTTTACAGTATGGTTCAGTATCATGAAACTGCTTGCGAAAAGCTGGGGAAAGAAGGTACAAAATGATACACGAAATTTATACGCTGCTTAAAATTTTTGATTCTTATATTTTTGCTATTTTACATTTTTTTCTCTTATGGGGTATTGAACTTTTCTCTTCAGCATTATAAAATTGTTAAATTAACAATATAAATGTTTGTGTGTATATATATTAGTTTTATTAGGAAAATTATACAATTATTTTATATCTAGATTAGATTAGAAATATAAATGTGTTAAGTAACAGGTATATGTCTAATGCTATGATGTTGTTTGTGCGCATCTGTAATTGTTTGTTTTTTATATATTTCTATTTTCTAATGAAATATTATTATAAAATACTAGGATATGTGCATATATTAGTAGGATGATTTTATACATATATAGGTTTTATATACATACACCTATGTATTAGAGCTGGAACAATACCAATATTACTTTGGGACTAGTATGGCAAATTGCTTGATTCAAATAGCATGGACTATTCTAGTTCCAAATATGTATGATTATATTAATTAAATAATTTTACCGATGTGTATGTGTTAGATTGCACAAGAAGATTTTAAGGTGTTGATAAATCATGCCGAGCAATTATTAATGTTAATAAACTTCGATGATGTCGCAAATCTGTACGTTAGAGTGCTAAGATTGTGGTAGGCGGTAATTGAAGCAATTTAGTTTCATTACGGCATTAGAATACCGTAATACTATTATGAATCTAATTTCTAGGCACAAGATATATTTGTCCAAACAGTATATGTTCTTTGCTTTCAAAATTATGTATGATCTTTTTTTTTCTTGGCGCAACTATGATGTATGATTTCCAATTTAACAAAATCTTATATATAACATATCATAATAAACTGTTTCAGGTGAAAACTCTTCTTCCGGATCATTATCGCCGAGTATATCGGAACAATTACGTCGTAAATTGCTTCATAGAAGATCCGCGGATAACTTGATTGTAAACTCACCGACAAATTCTATGAGACATTCTAGTCCAGAATCTATTAAAAGTGCACCGATCCAACATAAGCCACGTTCAACATCGCACGATGCTCTATCCAAAAAGAAAGATCGTTACTTTGGCCAAACAACAGCGTCTATGGATAGCTTAGCGAAGCAATCATTACTCGCCGCACAAGTACTTAATTTGATTCCTACTCAGAAAGCAAGAGAAAGGTATATTCCTTTTTTTAAGTAATTGTTATATTATATTTCGTATTATTTTTTCGATGACCAACCAAATTCAATTTCGCAGAAATTTTCTTCACGGAAGGATCGCCGCCAATTCTTTACTCGGATCGGTTGAACTCGAGAAAGTATTGCCGAATCGGGAATTGAAAATTTTTATCGGCACATGGAACATGAACGGTCAGACTCCGCCGAAAGAGTTGAACGATTTTATGTTGCCATCCGACATAGAGACTGTTCCCGACTTGCTAGTTATAGGAACGCAAGAGTCGTGCTCCGAACGAAATGAATGGGAAGCAGCTCTGCAGGAGACACTCGGACCATCGCACGTGTTGCTCACTAGCAGTTATCTCGGTACACTTCACCTCGCATTATTTCTGAGACGAGATCTGATCTGGTTCTGCTCCATCCCGGAAGAAGATAGTTTCTCGACAAGAACCGGAACGGCGTTTAGAACGAAGGGTGCGGTAGCGATAGCTCTCATGATATTCGGCACCAGTTTTCTCTTCGTCACCGCTCACTTGACCGCACATCAAGATAAAGTGAAAGAACGAGTCAATGATATAAAGAGAATAATTAGAAATCTTGACCTTCCCAAAGAACTACCTACCAGGCATAAAAGCAAAGGTATTCTAAGTGTTACAATCGATAATCTTGCATTTTGTACATTGCATGTAATAATAAATAATAAATGTGGTATTTTTCAGATGTAACGCAAAATTTCGATTGCGTATTTTGGTGCGGTGACTTAAACTTCCGTCTAGCTCAGCCGAGAGAGGAAGTGATCCAGTGGATCACGAATACATGCTTTCCGCAAGAGTCACCGATAAACTTGCGCAAGGATCAATTGAGAACTATTCTAAACGAAGGAGCTATATTACGCGGTTTCGAGGAAGCCCCTATCACTTTTCCTCCTACTTACAAATACGATCCAGGAACGCAGAATTTTGATTCCAGCAGCAAGCAACGCACTCCCGCCTACACCGATAGAATTCTTTTCAAAGGGAAGGGTCACACCAGGGGATACATCAGGCGTGTTAGTCACGAGAGTGCCAGCTCGCATAAAGACGGAGCTATAGAGTGCTTGGTATACGATTCCGTTCCCAGTATTTGCACCTCGGATCACAAACCGGTCTGGGGAGTTTTTAAAACTACGTTGAGACCGGGTATCGATACGTACGTATCTATCATTTATTGATAATCTATCAAATGATGAAGGTCATATAACTCATAGTTTCATACGTATATTACACATAACATATACCGGTAACAATCTATATGTTGCTATTTATTTTTAGAATTCCGCTTGGCGCTGGTCTTTTCAATCGCGAGGTATACCTGGAAGGCATTAGGAGGCGCGCGGCGGCGATGGATGATTCTCTCGGAACTTCAAAGGTTTGTTCGATCCAATAAAGCAATTGGAGATTATTGCGAGCGTGTAAATTGATTATACATATATACAAATAAAGATATTTGCCGGATTTTTAATATCTTAGGCGATATGAGAAAATGATCGCTTAAATGATCGTTTTCATAATAGATACCACGTTTCTTTTGTTCGATTTATGTATTCACTAAGTCTGTCCATTTTTTTATAGCAGTGATAAGAAACATTTTGCTAGTAAAAGAGGAGAGGGATTTGTATAATAGATTACTATTATCAGTGAACACTGTAAAAATCTAGTCAAGCAGTGAAATAAAATGTTCATTTAGTAATTTAAATGATGATATGACAATTTTGTAAATGTACTGTCGGTATATTTCCGACTCTCGTATTGTGCCACATGTATATTAGAGAACTTATATGAGGATTTATATGAAGTAAAATATTATTTGGCTATGTGTGTGTGGCACACACGAGACGTTCACAAATTTTGTTTTATGTCAATAAATTTTTATAGTAAATATTGATACATATATGTTGCAGTATTTATCAAAATGCAACTCGACTAATATTTCAAGAAACTTGTAAGAATTTGTGCAAAATATTTTAAAATACTGATTTTATGAATATCAAATGAAGATATTTATAAATAATTATCGCTATGTATGGAAGTTAATCAACATTATAAGTCAGGTTGTCCCTTTATTGAATTTACTGTCTTTTAATTTGAAACGAGTGTTTTTATGTTCAACTTAGATGTAATATAAATTATAGACCATAAATTACTGGGCCAATACACATTATAATAGAATTATATTAGTCGCTAACATTTAGAGATAATATCTCCATTTATTAAGTTTATATTCTTATTTATTGGGACCACACATTGTATCGTCTCAAAGAAGGATTCACAAGAAATATTTTTTTCTTAAGCATTATGCATGTAGGATAATTGCGTTAGTAATTATATACATAATTACTAACAATTAAAGAAAAATAGAAATTAGCTGACTAGTGTTGTCGTTTTGAATTGTATTATTAGTTTTGAATAGTGTACAACATTAATTTGGAAAGGTGACAAAATGATTCTTGATAGTGAGAGAGATGTCCTACTACTTCTATCAATACTTTACTGCAGATATTGATAATAATAACAAAGTACGGCTAATTATAAAACCCCGAACTTCTATACAATATTGTTACACAATAACAAGTATGCACGCACAAACAAGGTATCTATGTATCAGTATTAGATTTAACATTTTTGCTATAGCAAAAATGTGATAAAATAATTGAAGGATAGATATGTACATGTGCAACATGTGATGCAATATACAAGTCATATTATATAATTTTTTAATAATTAACTTTGGCTTTTTAAAAATTTATATAGTTATTTTCTATATTTTTATTATTAATTATGACTACTAAAATATTAAACAAATTCATAAATACAAATGTATACTTTTCAATTTGATTATAATTTATTATGACTATATTGTCTTTAATTATTTGATTATATGTTGTGTTATTTATATTATTAATTTATTTTATTGTTATTTTTGATTACTCTATATTACACACAATATTTTCAAGAGTTTTATCTTATATATAAAATAGGCACAATATTATATATTTAGAGAATATTACGTATTATTAACAGATAAAAAGATAAAACAGACTAAAAAGATAATATAATTATATATATGTTGAACAATATAAAAAATATACAATATATATAAAAATTAAACTCCACAACAATATATACACTTGGAGAGAGTGGAGTTTAATACGCTTAAAAAGTTCCAAGTATATTGCAGAACGTTTAATAGAAAAGAAAGAGAGAGTACTTATACTTATTACAATATAATGTACTAAAAAAGAAAAGACAAATATATAATGTATGTGTTAGGTAATAAGTGAATTGCAAGTATTTTAAGAAAGATGTGATTCAATGGTTTATTGCTTAAATTATTATATGCGTATGTATTCTATTGTTTTATTGCGAGTAAAATATCAAAAGATGCAAAACGATGAGGTGCTCGTGCGTACTCCAAACAAAAAATTAATGTTAAAATAGAAAAATATGTTTCTATATGTCCTGATACATCTCGTGTCGGGTTACATACTTTAATGACTTGTGATAACTTCTTCTTTGTAACTATGTAGACAGGTTGCCAATCTAGGTGCCTAAAAACATCTTTTACGTACTATTTCTGAAGCTTCAATAATGAAGCGAGACTAAGAATTGTTAAGGTCAAGATCTTTAAGTCTACCGAGCAGGTTGCCTTAACCATGCCTTATCTAAATCGTTAAATACATAGTTATGTACTCAATCTGCTGTATGCTTGCAATTCGATTCAGATCTCTGGTCTAATTAGAAATAAAATAAAAAAAAATAAGGTAAAATAAATAATCTATGTTGTAGTTATATCTGTAATTATCAATATGTATGAATTAATATGTAATGAGATACATAAACAAAATTTTATGTTATAATATAATTATATAACAACACACATATACACACATGTTAATTGGCTTATTTATATATTTAATTATATATTAAAAAAAAATAGAAAAATAAAACAATATTGTAAAACAAACTATAAGTGCGATCATGCCCAGCATAGATTATTTATTGCCTATGATTAAATTATTTTCAAAACATACAATTATAACTTAATAAAGCTTTTGTTCATTAAGACATTATATATAATTATCAATGAATGCTTTATAGCATGGTTTAATATATGCAATAAGAGATTATTTGAGACATTTATATAATTAGTAATGTGCTACCTGTCCTTTTTATAAATGTCTTGAAACTCTTACTGTACTGTGATACATTTTTAAATGTACATGCAAATCTGTCAATATGGAGTAAAATATATATCTAATTATCTCCATCGTAAATCAGAAGCGCACAGGATTCGATGCAAATCGTAAAAAATCGGCACCATAAAGCACACCGTTTTATTTTCTTTACACACACATACGCGTGTATACTGATTTGACAAGTAGAATTTTTTCATAACGAGAATATTCTCATAATATTCTCGTCACAAAAACGGAAGGAATTCTATTTAAATGTACTCGATTATATGCTTATATGTTTAAATAAAAACTTAAACATGTCATCGCGCCAAGATATTTATATATCCCGATCGGATTATTTTTTCCGAGTCACACAATAGTTTCATACGTTTTAAATTTTCCCGCCATCTCGTTCGACCTCGACGAACAAAGGGTCTGTTCTTTATAGCTGAACTGGCTGCACTAGTTCAGAGCTTATCTTTTTCTCTCCCCATTGGAAGGAGAAAGATAAGCTCTGAACTAGTGCAGCCAGTTCAGCTATAAAGAACAGACCCTTTGTTCGTCGAGGTCGAACGAGATGGCGGGAAAATTTAAAACGTATGAAACTATTGTGTGACTCGGAAAAAATAATCCGATCGGGATATATAAATATCTTGGCGCTAGTGCAGCAATCTTTTTTCTTCCAATGTAGAGAAAAAAAGATAAACTCTAAATTAGTGCAGTCAGTTCAGCTATAAAGAACAGATCCATAATACCTATTGTATTCCGCTTTAATTACGACGCAGCTTAAAATCGTCAAAAAGAGATAGTACTATCTATAAAAAACATTAATGGTAACGTGATTGGGATTTCAATTATGTAGAAACTTTCGGAGAAAATTTATTTACAAATTCTTATATTTCTATCTCTCATCTCGTGAGAAATAATTTTAATATCTCGACTAGGCCGTTCTATAGCATCGAGTAGACCATCTATGTGAATCCAATTTACCCGTGGAGATTGAATACCGTGTGTGCTCGCGTATGTATATATCAGTGCGTACGCGATTGAAGCCGTTTGGTAACGAGCGCAACCGCAACCGCTCCGTCACACTCGTCGCCATTTTGTTTATTTTCGCGTGACAGAGAGAGAGAGATCCGCGAGAGCGACGATCACGACGTACAGGATCGGCTCGCGTATTCGTTCGTGCTTCGTTTAAGCAACGTCCAGCTCCAGAAGCTGGGGAGAAAGAAAGAAAGAAAAGAACCCCGTTGAAGAGACAACGGCACACGGGTGAAAGCTCGGAAGTCGCAGGCGAGTCGATCGAGAGAATCGCAATCAGCGCGATCGAGATCCGTGAGCGACACACGAACGAGCAGCCGAAAGGGAAGCGAACGAAGTAGGCAACGGAGTGAGTTGTCATCGTCGACCGCGATCTTCGTCGTCCATCGTACATACGACGACGTAGTCGGGTATATATATATATATATATATATATCACGTCATCGCTGAGGGCCGGTAAAACGGCGTAGCGAGAACCGTTCTTCACGGATCGGTCGTGCGTGTGCGGGAGGGGGGGGAGGAGGTCGGTGCGCGAGGCGCCGGAACGTGAAGCGAGACGACGGCTGCCGCCACTAACACCATCGCCATCAGTCACTACTACTACCACGACTAGCATCGTCAATCGCTAGCAGTGGCAGCAGCACCATCCACTACTATTACTGCTACTACTACAACCAGTACCACACCATCATCATCATCATCATTATTATCATCGTAGAAGTCTCCGTCGCCGTCGTCGCTACTACCACCGCCGCGAAGGTAGCCGCGATCGTAGCCGTGGCGACATTTGGAGGAACGTGAAAAGAGAGTACGTGTACGGGTAGTACGGGTACTCGAGTCGCGGACCTAGCGATTTAATAACACACAGGGTGGAATATATGCTGTGGGCGTCCCCCGTACGAGTGGGGGCACTTGATGGCCGCAGAAATTGGGCGAACTGCGAGCAAACATCTATCGTCGGAGTGCGGTAAAGCGACGTCGCTGAGTCCCGGTAGCGACGTGAGCTTGGATAACAGTCGGGTGACTGTAGGAACAGAGCAGCAACGGCAATCCTCGCCGCCGCCACCGCCACCACCGCCGCCGCCGCCGCCGCCGCAACAGCAACAGCAGCAGCAACATCCACAACAGAAACGTACATCGGCGTCAGCACACCAGATCAGGAAAGCATTCGGTAAAACAACGACAACGACAACAACTTCACCTTGCCGGAATCGTCCATCGTTCGCGACCGCGCAACCAACAGCGGATAACGATCAACAGCAGCAGGCACCGATCAACGCGGACAACGTAACCTCGACGGCGGAGGCCGTCACCGAGGTACCCGGCGCCATCAAGACGACCATCAACATCGGCTTCGCGATGAACCACGTAAACGACCAGGAGAATCTGAAGCAGCTCAGCCTCGCACCCGTTCAAGTTAACGAGGTCGAGGAAATGGACACGCAGGAGGGTGAGTGCGCTTTTCGATCTCTGTCTTTCTTTAGAATCTATTTATCTCTCTCTCTCTCTCTCTCTCTCTCTTCCCCCCTCGTTTCGCCTCGCTAAGAACGTAAAAGCGAGCCGTTCTCACAAGAGAAAAAGAGAAAGAGAGAGAACGCTCTCTGTCGCGCGCCTCTCGCTACATTTTTTTTTTCGAATTTTCTTTTTTCTTTTTTCTGTCCAATGGTAAGCAATTCTCCGAACGATTTTTATATTTAGAGAGAGAGAGAGAAAGACTCGCGGACTGCTTTACATGCATTCGTAAAATTATTCCAAGGAGCAATCTATAGATCTATAGATCCGTTCGTACGTTGCCACTGCTGGCACATCGCACGTCCCGACTAGATACATATAAGGGACGTGTACAGCTGGCTTTCCATGGGTGTTAATTAGCGCTGACAGCGATTAACCATATTTTCTCCATCTTTATTTCACTTAGGTTTCACGGAAACGGAAGATTTATATCATCGACTTTGCGATAAATATAACTATTGTAAAAATATTATTTATAGATTTTTTTTTCAAGAGAGGAAAAATCGCATCTCTTTTTTTATACTCTTTACAAGAGTCAAAAATTATACTCTACATTACAAACATGACAGTTTATATTGCATGTTGTTTTATTTTCGACATATTCTAATTTTTTTTATCACTATTTTATTCTATTTGAAATGCGAGACTCACATATTGCCTTTTTTTTTTTTTTTTTTTTTTTTTTTTTTTTTTTTTTTTTTTTTTTTCTCGTGAAATATAACGAATGCCTCTTAAATAGTATATACATTATGTTATGGCAAAATACTGAATATATCTGATTACATAGGTAATATAAAACGGTATGTGTTACGTCACAGTTTTATTATCGGAAATTTTCGTGGATAAATAAATGTAATCATACTACTGATAAAGAAAATTGTACCTTATACATATAGCTACTGAACAAATAGTCACTATGTTTTATTTACCATTTCCACAGTTCTACATGAATAAATTGGCGATACATTGACAATTCTGTTTTTTCATATAATATATTTTTATTTATCGAACAAATATATGTTGTGCGAATCGCGAAGTGTGAATATTAACCTATAGTAACTTTATGATCTTCATCTGATGAAAATTTGTTTTTTTTTTATTTTTTTTTTATTTTGGTTTTTCCACCAATCATACTGTGATAATTATTTATTAACGAAACATTCCACATGAAGTATTCTATAAATTGTAATTTTCATGTTCTTATAAAAAAGATCTTGCAGACTTGCCATGCAGCTTTAGGTAAACTAATTACTTTGTATCATTATTGCACCATATTGCAGAATTTGTGTGCAAAAATGTATTATTTATATTTTCAATGTATACATAATGGTTTAGCATATATATATTGATAGCTTAATTAATTAATACAATTGCATAAACATTTATTGTTTGTATAATCTATATTGTTGAAATTTAAGGTTAACTTCTACATTAGTCTATATTGAATATCACTCTTTGTTTGTCAGATTTATCTATTTTGCTGGTAAAAAAAAAAATGGATATTACTCTTGTAGAAACTCCAAACGATGGTGGGGGGGATGGAACAGACAATCGTCCTATAAATGGTGAACCAGAATTAGCGTGTATAGTTCAAGATCAAGAGATGGAAGAAGGTATAATGATTTTTCTTTAATATACTAACTTTGTTTAAATTACTTCGTAATTTAAAAATAATCTTATATAATCTTAAATAACATGTATGTACATATAAAATTTTTATATTGTTATAACTGATATAATTTTTATTCTCCTATTTATATACTATTATACGCCCTATATCTATATATATATTTTTTTTTCTTTCTTTTTTTTTAGATGAGGCTCGATCCGAAGCAACTTTTCGATACACTGTTGAGAATATATCCAAGATGAAAGATTCACAATTATCACCTGCATGTTATGTTCGCAATTTACCATGGAAAATAATGGTGATGCCACGATCAAGTCAGACACAAGAAAGACAGCCGCAGAGATCACTTGGATTTTTCCTTCAGTGTAATGGAGAGAGCGAATCGACATCATGGAGTTGTTATGCTGTCGCTGAGTTACGTCTCCTTTCTTGTAAAGAAGGACAAGAGCTATTTAGCAGAAGTAAATATAATTCTTGTTCTTTAATTTTCTTTTTTTAACATGCATAACAAACTTAATCGAATCTAAAATGACACTTTTTCTTGCAATAATATAATTCATATTTTTATAGAAATTCAACATCTCTTCTATAGTAAAGAGAATGATTGGGGCTTTAGCCATTTCATGACATGGCAGGACGTTTTGGATCCTGAAAGAGGTTTTATCAAAGATGATTCAATTACGCTTGAGGTTTGTAACATATTTTTATTAATAAATATTTTTGAAGTACTGTTGTGATTTTTTTTTCACGATTCCTTATTTTAGCTATTTCTAGTTAGTATTTTAATTATTGCCGAAATATATAATATATAATTTAACTTTTTTGCAAAAAATGTTGTTCACACATATGATTTCACACATATGATTAGCATATATGATTTTTTAAATATTTGTTGTTTGTGATTTGTTGTTTAGGTTCATGTAGTGGCTGATGCACCCCATGGAGTCAGTTGGGACAGTAAAAAACACACAGGATATGTAGGATTAAAGAATCAAGGTGCTACGTGTTACATGAATTCTTTATTACAAACTCTGTATTTCACAAACCAGGTTGGTAAAATGTAAACTTGAGAAATATATATAATATTCCTATTGTTTTAATATATCTTTTATTAATGTATTTTCTTTCTAGTTGCGAAAAGCGGTGTATAAAATGCCAACAGAAAGCGATGATTCGAGTAAGAGTGTCGCACTAGCCTTGCAAAGGGTTTTTCATGAGTTACAATTTTCTGACAAACCTGTCGGTACAAAGAAATTAACTAAAAGTTTTGGATGGGAAACGCTGGATTCTTTCATGCAGCATGATGTTCAGGAATTTCTACGTGTGGTAAATACATTATGCATTGCACATTTATTGCATTGTCACTCTATAAACTATTTGTTGTACTGTATTAATACATACATATATATAAACTTTTCTTGCACATTTTTAGCTATTAGATAAGCTGGAAAGCAAAATGAAAGGAACGTGCGTGGAAGGTACAGTGCCAAAATTGTTTGAGGGAAAAATGGTCTCTTTTATCAAGTGTAAAAACATAGACTACAAATCCACAAGAGTTGAAACATTTTATGACATACAGTTAAATATAAAGGGCAAGAAGAACAGTAAGTATTGGAATTGACATTATGTTTTTGTGTGTGATATATAAGTGATGAGATATGCATAGATTTTTTTATATTTCAGTTTACGAGTCTTTTAGCGATTATGTGAGTACAGAAAGTCTCGACGGCGATAATAAATACGACGCGGGAGAGCATGGATTACAAGAAGCAGAAAAGGGTGTAATCTTCTCCTCATTTCCACCGGTTTTACATTTACATTTAATGCGTTTCCAGTATGATCCAGTTACAGATTGTTCTGTCAAATTTAATGACAGGTAAGAAATTGAAACTTATCAGAGCTTATATTTATTAAATTACATAGTATACATTTGTGTATCATAGTTATAGTTATATTTAAAAAACAAAAATATAAACTTCTATAAAATCTAAAATATAAATCTTATTTTATGTTTTTCGTGTAAGTAGTTATGTAAACTTATCTTTTAAGGTTCGAGTTTTATGAAAAGATTAGTCTTGGCAAATATCTGCAAAACAAAGAAGCAACAAGTGCAGATTACACATTACATGCAGTTCTGGTCCATAGTGGTGACAATCATGGTGGACATTATGTTGTATTTATTAATCCTGCTGGTGATGGCAAGGTAAATGAAATATATGTTTTGACATCTATCATGAATTAAATACATACTATAAATCTCTTTTATTTTCTTAATATACTTTATGTATACATACCATAATTTTATAACTATCTATATTTCTATAACTATCTATAATTCTATAACTATCTATAACTATCTAATTCTATAACTATCTATATTGAATTCTATATATAAATTTTAGCAACTAGTTATTTTTATATCCTGATCAAAACAATAAACTAGTCTGTACAGCCATATATTTTTACATCTTTGGTATTTACAAAATGTTATTTTTTTATAAAGTTCGAAAAAAAATTTTTTTAAAGTTTTTAAAGATGTATTATGCAGAATAATCATTTAACAAATAATAATCAATTATTTCTCTTGTGCAGTTTTTTCAACGATAATTACATGATTTCAATATTACATTAGTATTAATTTTCCTTATTCATTTCTTAACTTGTTACATTAGTATATTATATAATGACATTATAAATGACATTGAAAGATTTTGCTCCATCTGTTCTATGGCAGTGGTGCAAGTTCGACGATGATGTTGTCTCGCGATGTACAAAACAGGAAGCTATCGAACACAACTATGGTGGTCAAGATGAGGATATGTCTATGGCTGTGAAACATTGCACTAACGCTTATATGCTGGTTTACATAAGAAATTCAGAGCTGGAAAACGTTTTGCAAGAAGTCAAGGAAGAGGATATACCTCAAGAGGTCAGAAACGTCCTTCAAAGAGAGCTTTCCCAGGAGTTGAGCGACCTTGAACGTGACAAAGACGCGACTGACTCGATTAAAGACTCGCACACAGAGACGACGACTCTTCGTCCATGCACTCAAAATCCTCGAAATCCAAATCTCTATATTCATGATTTTTAACCGACGAACGCCGATATAGGCGGGAATAGGCGAAAAGAGTAAATTACTTGCGTTGCTTCTCGATCAAATTCTTCCTGAAGTTTAATGTTGTATTGAGCTACAACAGTGAGCTTGCTCATAGCATAGAATTGTTAAACTCACATCAGACTGGGAGTATATATATATATATATGAGAAAGACTCGAGGAGATTTTCTGTCCTCGTTACGATATATATTTTGGCTACCACACGTTGATAATTTAATTTTTGAGAGATTCTACATAATAGTCTGTGTACAAATTAGAGGATTTATTTGATAAAATTTGAATTTTTTGTCTTGGATTTTCTTAACAGAGATTTATATTACTATCAGTTTTGAAATGCTATATTGGTAAATGTTAACATTACATAAATATCATATCCATTTTTCAATGTGTTGTATTCATATTTAATATAATACTTGATACAAAGATCAGACATGCTTTATCAGATTTGATTACTAATGTACTAAATTCGAATACGCAGTGAAGTAAAGATGGTTTAGTAATGTCTGGAAAGATCCGAAGGTTGATATAAAGTGATTTTGTAAACACATGTACATTACAATAACGAAATTATATAATGCATGTTATATAGAGATTTGTTTTATATAGAATACCTTTGACATTTTTTTTTTTTTTTGGACAGGATGAGGATTTTTTCAGTGCGGGCGTTCGAGGCGTATATAAGAAAATCACATACATGTGATTTTTTATTTATTTTTATCTTAACTCAATTTTATATCGATAACGCAAGGAATTAAAGAGAAAGATTCATGACTAATGTGCGTGTTACTATCTTGTCACTCTTGTCAGAAATGCTTATCCTGAATTGGATAAACTTGAAGTCTGATCGTCAGACTACTATCGTGATGAGCCTTAGAATTGTTTTGGGAATGTTTTATTGTAACAAACATTGTATAATATTATAACAATAACAAATTTAATCATTGTACTGTAGTATATCAAAACCGTGAATGAAAAGTGAACAAACATATCGCAAGAAAAAATTGGATATGTGTGAGTAATTGTGTAAGAGAATTAGAAAAAAGCAAAAAGAGTTATTAGTGAGAATATAATAAGTATCGATTCGAGCTGACGAGTTTTAGCTCTTGCAATATATATACAGGAAAAAGGAAAAATAACCAATATAAGTAGTACTTGTCGGCAACATCAGCTTCCTTGATATGTCTTCTTTAGCGTATCCATTATTTAACTGAATTATTTAGTGAGTGAGACATAATGTGATTTATATTACTCATCTCTTCGCGGTTTTTGTGAACTAATATTTAAAGTCGACACACATACAAAATAACGAGTAAAATAAGAACTTCGTGTTTCAACAAAGAATCACTTAAACAACTCGTTAATTCATTAAATTCTCTTCGTGTTAATAGTGATTACGATCATTGACAGATGCTATCTATATATTTATTTGTTGTTATATATTAATAACTAGAAGAAGAGAGAGAAAGAAAGAGAGAGAGAGACAGAAGAACGCTAAAGCATTATCGATAGAGTAAATACTTTATGATAGCTTTAATCGTGAGATACCTTTAAATGCTACATCACTATTTTATATATAAAAATAAAAAAAAGAAGAATAACGAATAAATTGTTGGATACTAGAAAATTTCACAGGCAGCAATCGCGTTAATTTTATTTATTTTTACCGCTATTCTCTTTCATCTACTCTATATGATTCATAAGTAATGGAGATATTCCAAATTACACAAAGCATCTCCACACTACTATAGTTACACATTACATTGTTATAATTATTTGGCATGGGTGGTGGTTATAATGTTTTGATAGGTATGTATTATGCATGTACATAGCTAAATTAAGGTATTTTGTTGTTTTTCTGATCAACAATTACACATTCTAGATATTGAGACGATAACGCCGCATGTAATTAAAGTAATACTATAGGATTTTCATATATCATACTTTTTTTGTACGCTATATTTGCCGTATCAATTTTTTATGTTTAATTACTAACTGTATATTTATTGTATGATATTGTATTTATTAGCCAGCAAGAAATAACTGGGAACCATCACTCACCGCCAAATAATTTTTATTGTGTAATTGTTTGACTTGTGGTAGTCGATATAGCGGCAGATGAACAAAATTAAAATTACAGAATGAAAAATGTACCGTCATTCTTTTGATGTTTCGAATACAATCTGTTCTCGAATCTCAAAAGCATGATACATTCTTTTTCTAAAAAAAGACCAAATTATATAAATTTAAAAGATAGTCGAGGAAAAAAATGATCCAATGAGAACGAAACGAGTACACACGTGGATAATTTTAATTTTGTTGGTCTAGCTGGTGGAGAGGCTGCAAGAGGAGAAGAGGCTGGAACAGATAAGAAGAAAGGAAAGAACGGAGGCATACTTGTACATGACCGTCAATGTCCTTCTCGAGGATAGCTTTGACGGTCACCAAGGAAATGATCTCTACGACCCAGAGCACGCTTTATATCGTGTATTTCGCGTACGTAAGCAGGCCACTGTGCACGAGTTTCTCGAGCTACTGAGTGATAGTCTGGTAAGTAAGCTTAGTAAAGACATTTTGCGCTTTCGGTGCTTCTTCACACGCCGTTATATCGCTTAGAGATTGATCTTGTGCTTATACATGTATCAGGATTTATTTACGAAGTAAATCGATACTGGTGTGTAGTATCTAATATAATATATTTCCTGTACTGTGTGTAAACCATACAGTGCTTGATTAAACTATATTGTCACGACGGTAGGTAAAAAACTTCAAAAGAGACTAGACATTTTTTCTTGTTGATGTAAGAATAGAAAGCAATAGAAAGAATATTCTTTACAAAATAGTGTAAATTTTTTTAATATGAAACATACGTGTGTGGTAAAATAATATTGTAAAATTATTGATTCTGAAAACATTTTATTTTCAATTTTCAGTTTAGAGAATCGAAAAAGTGATAAAAAGAGAAATAAAGCAAATATTTAATATCATTAAATTTATTCTGCAGAAATATCCGATAGAACAGATTCGCATTTGGCCGTTCAGTCAACGTTCGAATCAAACCTGCAGACCTACATTAATCGAGCCGGATGCTGATCTTCAAAAGCCCATCATCGATTGCGCGGAAAATCATAATCCATGGAATGTATTCGTCGAACTTGTCCCTCCAGATTCTGACATGACGGCATTACCGCCTTTCGACAAGGATACCGATGTTTTACTCTTTTTTAAACTTTATGATCCCAAAAATAAGAAAATCCATTACTGTGGTCATCATTATATGCCTGTTGTAGCCAAAGTCCGTAAGTTGAAGATACTTCTATAATATGACTATACTAGAAGAATATAATAGTTATTCTCTTTTCCCATATACCATGTACATTTATATAATTAGATTAGAGAATATCTTAACATAACTTTGATAATAAATTTTGCAGAGGAGCTCATACCAATTTTAAATGAACGCGCGGGATTCCCACCAGATACAGAACTTGCTTTATATGAGGAAATTAAACCAAATCTAGTTGAGAAAATAGACAATCTAACAGAACCCTTGGAAAAAGTTTTGGAGGAGTTAATGGACGGTGACATTATTGTATTTCAAAAGGAAGGAGATAATGAGATGTATGAACTTCCAACATGTCGAGAATATTTTAAGTAAGTAATAAATATATTTTTATAACTATTTTAATTATTTTTTATAACTCTAATATGGGAATTGTATCTCCGAATGTATTACAATGCTTGCTAATCTAACGATTTGCATTTTCAGAGATCTGTTCTATAGGGTAGAAGTAACGTTTTGTGATAAAACGATTCCCAACGATCCAGGTTTTACGATGGAACTTTCGCTAAGAATGACGTACGATCAAATGGCGAAGGCTGTAGCACAACGAGTCGGCACAGATCCGTACCTTTTACAATTCTTTAAATGTCAAAAGTAAGAATTCATATTTTTACTTATATTTTAATATCAATTATACGCCGAGAGGTTTCGATTACTTTAAAATGCTCTTTGGATGAAAAAAGAAGTCCTATCCTTAAATTTTTTTTTCAGTTATAAAGATTCTCCCGGCCATCCTTTAAAATGTACATTCGAAGGCACGCTCAAAGAACTGGTTTCGTACTGCAAATCGAAAGTAAAGAAATTATTTTATCAACAGCTCAGTATTAGAGTAAACGAGCTAGAAAACAAGAAACAGTTTAAGTGCATATGGGTCGGCCCGTCACTTAAAGAGGAGAAGGAGATTATACTTTACCCGAATAAAAATGGTACCGTTGCCACTCTACTCGAGGAGGCTAAGAAGCAAGTAGAATTATCGGAAAACGGATCGGGAAAACTGAGGATATTAGAAATAAATTGCAACAAACTTTTACCCGGCCCCGGAGACGATGTACTTTTAGATAACTTAAACTCGTCAGGCACCAAGCTGTATAGGATAGAAGAAATTCCGAATGACGAATTGCATCTAGCGGAAGGCGAAATGCTGGTTCCTGTTGCGCATTTTCATAAAGACGTTTTCTCAACGTTCGGCATACCCTTTTTCTTCAAAATCAAGAATGTGAGTGATCTTTTGAATTTAAATCTTTTCACGTACATATATATATATATATATATATTCACACACGTAACACACGATGCATTTTAATAATTGTAACGCTGTACTTTATAGGGTGAACCTTTTCAAAAAATGAAGGATAGATTGCTAAAGAAATTAGGAGTACAGGAAAAAGAATTCGAAAAGGTAGGCATCCTTAGCTAATCTTTTTTGATCTCTTATGAGAATTCATAAAAAAACTTTGAAGTTTAAGTTCGCGGTGGTGTCAATGGGCAAGCCACAGTTCATTATCGACTCGCCGGACTGTTGTATCAAAGTCGACGATTTCCTTCCTAGATTTTCCGGTCAGAGTAAGTATAAATTATGTTTCTATTCTCCATTTTCTAACGCATGCGAATAAAGTGAGCGTCGAATAATCGCATAGTCTCACTATATTTAGTACATAGTACATTGTAATATGATGCTGATGAAGAATAAATTTTGTAGTCTATCCACTTTTAAACGCAGGCACATCGCCACACAGGCCTTGGCTTGGCCTGGAACATGTCAACAAAGCGCCAAAGCGCTCTCGTATCAACTACCTCGAAAAGGCCATTAAGATTTACAATTAAATTTCCACCACACGAAGAAGAAATTAAATTAGGCAGCCACTTATAATAATTTATATACGACTCTGTATAGTAAGAGAATGACGTCTGATATACTAAAGGTTGGAAAATGCTTTTATGTATTCGTTTCTTCAGCCAGATTAAAACTATGCAATTTTAATACTGCGAGAACGATATCGGAAGGTAAATCCAAGCTTTGTATACGATGAATTATAAGATTGTCGTGAAATGTGCAGTGCTATTTTATGCATCATGGAAGAGCGATAAAATAGTTCCTCGATTCGAATTTGTAAAAGTTTTATTGGCCCGATGCTTACTTTGGCGTCACTCAGTACGGATTTTCGCCTAGACTTCGAGAATGTTTGATTATAAAATGCACATACATTGTACCTAATATTATTGTGTCTCTGATAATTCTCTCTAATAAACTATTTCTTTCTTTTTTTTTATTTTATTTTATTAGGAAAACGTGACTTTTGTGTGAGAAATATACCGGCTTTTATCCTATCACGTAAAATCTGTATATAATTGTTACATCCCAAGAGGTACCATATTATGTTCTGCATGATGTAACATTTAACACTCGTAACGTATTATTGGTATCGAGAAAGATTGCCTACACACTCCCCTTTTATGCTGTGTCTGTATTCAGAATATTCAAAATGTGGAGCTTGCCATTAATATTGTGCTAGAAAAAAGAGCGATGTCACATTTTTAATTTACCCGAAGATTTTGTGACGCAAAGTATATCGTCTCATAAAAATTCTAACATTTAAGACAAATCTATTCCATTGATTCGAAATATAATTCAAGAATTTCCTTCTCTTTTGTATTTTCTTCGTATTTTCGAACAAAATCTAGAAAACTATTTTATTTTATGTCGCGTTATAAGAATATAAGAGGATAGAAAGTGCGTAAGCTAAATTTCTAAGTTGCCTTTCCTGGAATATTATTCTTCTTAGAGCATATTTTTTGTGAGTTTTATCTTGTATATTTTTTACTATATAATGCCAGTACGTAAAATGCAAATATAAAAGGGTATATAGATATCTAAAACAAGAAATTGACGAAACGAGCAATGCTTAATCTAGACAAAGAAATTCTCGGTGAGATGCAAACGCTAGTTTAAGCAAATCGCATATAATAACGTATTCGTTTTTTTCTTTTTTTTTTTTCACCGCTTCACCTTCAACTGCTCCATTTTTGAGAAGCAATGTGTAGGAGATAATGATTTAATCATCCAGAAATCATCATAGTATTTTCTTATTAAATTGATCATAAATTAGCAACTTATTTTTCCTTTTTATATTTAATTTATAAAATACGACAAAAAAGTAGATCTCGCACGAATGATTTTCAGGAAAGTAACCCGCGTGTTGCGCAAGAGCTCTGCTATTTGCGGATACTTATTTATCATTTTCTACACCTTACTGTGATCAATTCAATTTAGCCAACATGTATTTAAACATCATACCGCCGCCTCTGGAATATTCGAAATAGTTTAATTGTAAATGTCAAAGAAGAGGGATACCGAGCTTTCTACGTGTGCATTATTTAATAAATTTCATTTTATGTTAAGAAACTGTTTATTACTCATAAGTTTTAAATGAGTTAGATCTATAAGGATGTAAATTTAAGCTATTTTGAATGTTTAAACTTCTAAAGAATTGCAGACCACTTGAAAGTCATAACAAAATCATAATGTGTTCAAAGTGCAAAAGCGAAATTTGTACTTTGTAAAGTGGCATAAAATGGTACACCAAACACACACACATACACACACACATGTACATGAATTACTAAAGTGTTTCAATATATTTACCCGGCAATTTATCGGAAACTTTGTATGTGTGTGTGTGTGCGTGTTTTTTTTCCTGATTAATAATATAATCGATTAATAATAATAATAATAAAACAGAAATCTATGTGACGCGCAATAGTTTTTAATGAAGACTGGACAAATAAGTTAAACCACAGCATATTTTGTAAAAAAAAAAAAAGAAAGAAATTGAATGTGGTTGTACAGACTGTACTGTTTGGTGGCATATATGAAAAATCGTAATCTTAATATAATGCATCTAAAAAACTATTTAAAATTACATTCTATAAAGATGCGTCAAGCGTGTTTTGCTTTTTACTTTTGTATTTCTGTTTTTATTTGAATCCGTTTATTAGAATTTAATAGCATGCTTATTAAATATCTTGTCAAAGTGAATACGACAGG